ATTGTCCGGGAGACTATTAGGTTTGACTTAAATTTTATTGGTAACCGTATGTCAGGCTGTATCACGTGAGTGTATTCTTGGACGGTTGTTAGCATTCCATCTGGTAGTCAGTATTGATCTACATTCGAGAGGTACTAAGGGTTCACGTCACTTTGACTAGTCCGCTTTGTTGGTCTACCGCTTTCAATGCAGGGCATAAAAACCTAAAGATCATAGCCTGAAGTAACTTTCCGAATATCAAATCGTGAAACGACATCGCCATGCAACATTCGCAGCATCCTCTAATGCACTTTTCATTTAACGAACTTGTGCTTGTGTACCTTCCCAGAGTGTTTTTAGCCTCCATAACCCGGTACAAGCGTCTTCGGAATGTTGGCTCTTCCAGATCATAGTCGAGGTCTTCAATTTGTTCCGACAGCAGAGGCTGTCGCTCCCCCCCTCTCTCCATAATGGCGTATTTTAGTGATATGTTGACAATCACCACACAACCCCAGCTGTATTTAACATGAACACGTGTGTGTATGTCTAAAGACGCGAAGTGACTATTTAGCTTGAGCCTCAAGAGTCATGGCCTTCTCTCTACTTGTTGTGCGAGTTTATTTTCACAGCCCTCTGATTCAATGGAAGAAGGCTAGGGCGCTAGGCTATGGTATTTTTTAGTAAATATTTGTTACAAGTATGTATTTATCATTAACCTACTCGTTAACGAAATACTCCCCATTCATTGGTTCAAGAGTTAAATTGTGGCTAGCCTATTTCGTTTTTTGTAAAAAAGGAAGAAAAAAGATAATACCGACTGTCATAGCCTTCTGAACGATTTAAAAACCCTAAAACGACTGTACAAAATAAATTTCCTCAATCCGTTGAAAAGGGGACAATCCGTCAGAGAGACAAAACATTTAACGGATTCATATATGTTCACAAGTCTTCATTTTGCAATAAAATACTTCTCATTAATTGGTTTACGAGACAAATTTTCAGTTTTCAATTGGCTTATGACTATGGTAAAAGTAAAACAAACAATTATGTATTGTAGTAGCCTTCTGTTGAATTCAGGTTATGGCCTAAATAAGGTATGTAAATAAATACCCTTTTGACAGTAAAAATATATATATATAAAATGTTGTATACATCCACGGCCCACCTGTGTATAACCGCCTACAGCGCACAGACACCGAATGTTCTAAACTCGATTCAATACGTTGTGTGAAAACGTATATACTGAATCAATATACGTTTCTGCGCCTCCGGGTGCATATTTGGACTTTGGTGCCTTAGATTTTTTTTTCGGTTTTGTTCCCAGCAGTAGAGTGTACCACTGTCAGTGGTCGACGTTTTTTTTTTCGAGTCTTTTAGCCCCATAATAAACTTTGTTTTGTTTTAATAAAAACCTCACATATCTATGAAATATTTGCGTTTTAAAATATGGTTTACGTAATTACGTGGCGGTTGCTATGGCACAACGTGTTTTTTTTGGGGAGGTTGTTTTGGTTGTGACTTTTCAGTTTTCACTGTTCACTTTGTTGACACTTGACATTTGACACTTGTGACAACTCTCGGTCGTCCGCTCACCTCGGCTTTTCTTCAGTGTGTATGTACAGTCAGTACTGGTAGTGCAGAATGTACTTTTAAATTTTTTTCAAGTGTATGCATACTATATATGTGTAGTTAAAAGGGTACTGCGGCGTCAACACCACCCACACAATCTATTCAACAACGTTTGTAGTGGATCACTCGGGCAAGCTCTTTTCAAATATGCTGAGATCGATTGTATTGGCTGCTATGGCCGTTGCTGCCGTAGAGGGCACGGTTCTATTCAAGGAGATCTTCGATGGTATGTCGCCATCACCAACTCCATCGTTCATCTCGTGTATATTCCTTGACTGTTCATTTGTGAGGTAAAAATGCTTTTTATACTACGGATAGTTTCCACAGGCTGTATCATAGCGCAGTCTATATATTAAGTACTGCTAGCATAAACGCAGCCGAATCACGGTGATAGTTTTTATGGAGAGGTTACGCTAAATCATTAAGTCGTCTGTATCTTGATTTGCACCACCAGGAGCCATGTGGCCCATTTATTTTCTTGCGACAGACCCGCACACATAGTGACGGGTACAGAGTGGTCTGCCAGCGGTATGTCTCACTCTATCCAACCCAATACAATACATCCTTCCCATATTCATTAAATTCATTTTATTATAACTATCCCCCATGGTCAATAGACTCGTACACTGAGCGATGGATTGAGAGCACTGCCAAGGGCGCTGACCAGGGTAGGTTCATTCTATCTGCGGGCAAGCACCACCATGATCCCGAGGCCGACAAGGGCATCAAGACGAGCGAGGATGGCAAGTTCTATGGCATTTCATCGAAGATTGACACCACCTTCTCCAACAAAGGAAAGGATCTAGTTGTGCAGTTCCAGGCTAAGCACGAGCAGAACATTGACTGTGGTGGTGGTTACATCAAGTTGTATCCCTCTGGTTTAGAACAGACACAGCTGGATGGGGAGACCCCGTACAACATCATGTTTGGCCCTGACATCTGTGGTTCTACCAAGCGTGTGCACGTGATCTTCACCTACAACGGCGAGAATCATCTCAAGAAGGTCGATGTACCCGCCAAGGCAGACGAGTTCGCTCACCTGTACACATTAGTGGTGCACCCCGACAACACATACGAAGTGCTGATTGATCACGAGTCGGCTGCCAAGGGAGACATTGAAGAAGACTGGGACATCCTGGAGCCCAAGGAGATTGACGACAAGGACGCCGTCAAGCCTGAAGACTGGGATGAGCGTGCCAAGATCCCTGACGAGAGCGATGTCAAACCCGCCAACTACGATGACATCACCGAGTTCATTGTTGACGAGACCGCCGAGAAGCCCGAGGATTGGGACGAGGACGAGGACGGTGAGTGGGAGGCTCCCATGATTGACAACCCCGAGTTCCGTGGACCCTGGGTGCAGAAGACTATCGACAACCTCGACTACAAGGGCAAGTGGGTCAGACCTAAAGTGGCCAACCCCGAGTACAAGAAGGATGAGAACCTACACGCTTTCGAAGATAACGCGTTCATTGGGTTTGATCTGTGGCAGGTGAAGAGTGGTACTATCTTTGATAACATTATTGTTACGGATGACCTGGCCGAAGCTGAGGAGTTCGCAAAGGAGACCTTTGATCTACTTAGGGTGGGAGAGAAGAAGATGATTGACGAGGCTATGGCAGAGGTATGAAAAGTTTATTACAATATATATTTATTATGTTTATATATAGTATTTGAGACGACCCCAATATCTGCCATCTGGTATACCATCTGCAACATACAGCATCCAGTATATCTGCAGTCGTGTCCATTCACATTACCCGCATCTTCTGATCGGGTTGGTTTCAGGTGCTGAATCCCAAGGAAAGTTGTTTGTCCTCTTAGTTTCGCATACGTATTTTGGACTCTTACTGTCACCTGTCAACTACTGTCCTCGTCATGGGTCAATTGATACCAATTTGGACCATGAAAGATATATATATATATATATATATATTTGTGTGTATGTATGTATATGTATGTAATTTATGCATATATATATATCGCACTGCTTATCTGTACTTTAACAGTTTGTATTGCATTGATTGTTCAGCATCGATACATACAACACCTACATACACCGTCAACAATATTAACTATGTTGACAATTGATAATATTATCTGCCATAATTAGTTCTCGGAATGTGCAGCTGAAGGCCAAATACTGGTATAGAACTACTGTTTGTTCATTTCTAATTTGTCTTGTTCAACTCACAATCTATACAGCTAAAGATCAAAAGAAATATACAAGTCTACCTACTCATACATTATTGGTTATATATACATACATATATTACATACACATATATGTTTGTAGCTGGCCATAGTACTGATACAGATCTACTTTTTGTTCTCATTTTATTCGTCATATTCGTCTCACAATCTATACAGCTCAAGGCTAAGAACGAGGCCAGTGCAGCCGACGAGGAGGCGGTTGAGGAATCAGCCGAGGAGGCGGTTGAGGAATCAGCCGAGGAGGCGGTTGAGGAATCAGCCGAGGATGTGGAGGAGGAAGAGCTATAAATAGCTACCAATGGTATCGCATGGAATGGATTGGTACACTGAATATCACATGCTTGGTTACATCCAGCCTGGCTTGGATTGATACAGATTGTGTCACGCATACCATGAACTGGTACGGTTTAGATTACTTAGACAACATGCGGCGTGGGAAGGCATGAGGACCGATTGGGTGCGAAGGGACCACTTTCTGACTGCAGGTAGATACAACCTACAGACATGATTAAACACTCACGGTACCCCGGACCGCCGTTCGTGTGACGTTTGTATTGATAACAGATAGATGGATCGTAAATACAAGGATAGGTGGATTGTAATGATAAGGATAGATGGATTGTAACGATAAGTATAAATGGATTGTAATGATAAGGATAGATGGATCGTAATGATAAGGATAGATGGATTGTAATGATAAGGATAGATGGATCGTAATGCTAAGGATAGATGGATTGTAATGATAAAGATAGATGTATCGTAATGATAAGGAAAGATGGATTGTAATGATAAGGATGCATGGATTGTAAGGGTTTTAGATAGGTAGAGGGATCGTTAATGATATTAATGGATATGAGAGATCGTACTGATGATATATGCTATGAGCAGTATTCATTCTATACATATAATCGATTGTTTCCTACTAGGTATTGGTAATTCCCTGGGCTTCTATATCCTCGTGGTGGGTTGTTTAGAATACCTGATTTATTGATTTATTGACTGATTCAAGGGCCGAGTAGTATTCACCATATAAATATAATCCATTATCTCCTACTAAATATAAGCTATTCTTTGAGCTTCTGTATTTTCGTCCAGCGTTCCTCGTACTGTATGTCATAGAAAGAAAGAAAGAAGAAAAAAACTCGGTTTATAAAAGCAGAAACCTTGGTTTATATTTAGCACTCCAAAATACAAACGCTGTCCCATTCTATATTGAAGTGCACGTGTTTACGTATCCCTTTTTGTTTTGTAGCCGATTATAGGGGCTTTAGGGGTTCAACTTTTTGGGGTTTTAAACCCGTATCATCCATTGCCTCTTAAAAATCTAATGCTAATATACACAGCACACGCCCACAGATACACTGTGGTGTGAGGAAGCACTAACATACAAGACACGAATTGCCAATAGAAGATGGTATAGAACTAAATCAAACAGATAGTACAGACTAAATTGAATGGAGCGCGCACCACGTGAGGAATGGCAGATACATAGATCATTTCAATCAATCATAATCAGATATATATATATATATATATATATATATATACTAGATTCAAGGAATCGGACTCGTGAGATGCCCACGTGACCCACGAAATGATACACATTGCACTGAATAGGTCCAATACAAATGATACGGAATAAAGAAGACAGTACCGAACTGCAGTGAGTGGACACCGTGCGAGAGGTGGCAGCTACACACAATCCTGCACATCGGACAAACAGACTTGTCACAGACAACGCCACAACGCTCTGTGGTGAAATACGCACGAGACAGACGTACCAGATGTTACAGTTGCATGACCCTCTAGAGAGAGAAGAAGACTTACTAATAAAATATAGGGGAGCGAAGTAACGTCCGAAGGTCCCACCCAAATGTTTGTACCGAACTGGGTCCAATAGCACGATATAGAAAATACAAGCTTGTCGTACACATGTCTCACAATACAATTGATAAAACTCCTCTCCCGCCCACGTTCCGTACTGTAGTCGGCTTGGCTTGGTTTGACTGGGTTAGGCTACATGCTAATTACGACACCGTACCTCTGTATACCCTGGCAGATCCCTCAGGCTCTTCTGCTCAACCGCATTGCCGTCCAATGAGAACAGCTGGAATATGCTATCCACGAATAGATTCTCAGGGATATTGGTGAACTTTAATTTGTTATTGCTCAGTTTGACGGTCTGCGGGAGGAAAAGGATCAAAGCTCATTAAACCCCTCTGAAAAACTCTACATACCCTTAAACACCAAAAGGCGGTAGGTTGTAAAATAGTAGATTCGTGTATAAAATTGAATATCAGTCTTTTGCTAGTGTATGTATAACATTATTATTCACAGCAGTGTCCGGAGGACTAAACGGATTAGCGAGCATATCGATGCTCCCCTACAAGTGCACGTATTCTATCAACTCTATCTTACTATTTAAAAGATAGCAAATCATCTATCACTAGTGCTATAAGAATATAATAGAAAATCTATTGAAAGTACTATAACAAAATACCAAATAATCTATCACTAGTACTATAACATATAGCAAACAATCTATAAATATTGTTATGAAAACATAGCAGCATGCATTCAATAGAGATTCTCATACAGCCATATGTATAGACACAATTGATTACAACGAGGATCCGCGTCTGTAAATTAAACATACTTAACAATTTATAAACGCGTTAGGTCGAGCAGAGAAATGGCGTACAATAATTCAAGCGTACACAGCCACTTACAGAGGCAGTTGATCCTAACGAGCAACCACGTTCATATACTAAACCCCGGTTTTAGGGGTTTAGGGTTATACGTTTTATTAGGGTTTTAGGGTTTAGGAAATCTTACCCCATAACGAATACACAGGTCGTGCTGAGGTACCCACACATACCTTTAACCTCGGACACTTGGAGAGGTCAGGGCTGATACTGGCTACTTGATTGTTTTCTAGACTCAGTTCAATGAGATTAACCATAGCGGGAGTGCCCTCTGGTATATTTCTGTATAGCAGCAGGTGCACTTAGTTGAGCGGGAGAAAGGAGCATTTATGCATAATACATGTGAGTACATACATACCGATAGACACACACACATATACATACATACATACATATATATATATATATATACATACATATATATATATATATATATATATATATAAATTTTACATACATACATACATACATATATACATACATACATACATATATACATACATACAAACATATATATATACTACAATATATATACCAGCCAAACTGATACAGAGCGATAGGTACCACACCACTGAGCTTAGCCAGGGATGAATGCGGATGTCTACACACAGCTGCACTAATGAGAGGCACACGACACCGTTGCCAGATTGATTGAATAAGGTATACCTACGAGAACACCAGTCAACATGATACACTTGATTGGTACCATGGACTTGTATGTCTGATGTCGACATAGACGATTATATACTGGGGTACTGGACTGGACGGGCCAGGCCAAACAATGAAGTGACCATAGCTCCACAGACATACTTTATCTTATTGTTGGCCAAGTACACGCCATTCAGCTTAGATAAACTCAGCAGTTCAATAGGAAACTCGATCAACTGGTTGCCCTCGAGCTTCAGTGTTTGGAGCTTTTTTAGTCCAACAAATGAAGGTGGGAGCTGTAATGTACGGGTGTA